AAAGACAGAGAAAACTACTCATATCTCATGGGGAAAACACAACAAAACTCGGAATTCATATATAAAAGGAAATTCATAGAAACTACAACAAGTAAATAACTTATCTCTAATTTATCCCCAAGAACACTCCTCAAAGTTCCTCTGAATCTCTTCCTTTCTTTACAGCACACGGAATTCCTTTTTGAAGTAGCAAGGAGGAAGAAATCTCTCACTTTCCCTCCACTCTTACAATCTCTCAAAGAAATCCTCACAATTGTTACACACTAATCGAACCTCTCTAACCTCCAGGACCTCTAACACACTATCTCCCCCTCTATTTTTCGGCCAAAATGTTTTTTTAAAGTTTTAGATGAGTCCAAAATCTTCTCTTTAAATATGTGGATGAGTTTTCCAAAGAGTTGCTTATGCACCCCTCCAAAATCTGGCCTTAGCCATTGTACAAGCCGTCGGCGGCCTCAAGGGCGCCGTCGGCGGGCTTCTAGAGAAATTTTTTTGTCCTGTAGTCTCGGGAAAATCTCGCCGTCAGCGGCGTCAAGGGCGTCGTCGGCGGCCTAGTTCAAATCTTCACATTTTGGTCTTTTTCGCTCCAAATTTACTTTTTTTTGCATTTTTTTGCTCCAATGACCCTAATTCTTTATTCCTGCAACAAAATATCAAAAATACATTTCTTTAAAGTGCAATATCATAAAAAACAGTATAAAATAGGTATGAAAATCTCAACATATTTTCCTTTGGTCATTACTCCGTAATGTTGGTTGTTACTCTACGTTGTGCTTTGTTACTCCATAACATAAGTCGTGATTGTGCGAGGGGCTTTACTAAAACTAGTAGGGGGCGTTCGAACGTGGTAAATGACAATCTGAGAACAGTGGTCGGTAGTTCCAGGAGCGGAAAACATTTGTCAGGTCCTCGGTTCAGAAAAAAATGTTGGAATTCGCCCAGAGAGATTCCCCGATTGGACAATATATTGAATAATTTAGTGTCTTAATGATGTAAAAAATGAGTGATATCATGCTTGTTGGATGCGTCTCATCGAGATACTCGATTTGACAATACTCTCGTTAAATTTGAAACCTATTTTTATGATATAATTATCCACTAAAAACTTCAAAAAATAGTTTAATGGTTTGATCAAGACCAAATTTGACTTAAATTAGACTATTTTAGGGTCGTTCCGTTTGCCTTATCGAGCGGGACCGTGACAATAAATTTGCTGAAATCAAAATTGTGGATAATGTTTAATTTGAGTTTTAATTTTTTTTTTTCTCAAAAAATAGAAGTCTGCCTTTAAAATTTCCAAATTTATACTTGTGTTCAGTATCAGCTCCCCCACCCCTCCAAAAATATCTGTATATATTTTCCACAGTCTAGTAAGGGAGCACGAAAACTACATTGCGGAGAGGAGATTCCCAATATGCGGACTGTTGTTCCATTGGGTCTTACCCCCTCGCCATCTCGATCTTCGTCGTCTTCTATAGCTGCTAAAACGCCTATCCATCTTCTCAGAACACCTTCCGAATCTCCATCTAGGGTCAAGTTATTTCAAAAGTGCGTTCGAGGAGTATCACCTCCGCGATTCTCCGATCATGTGATCAACTCACGAGCAGGTGCGACAACTTTCGATCTTTCTCATCTCTCTTTATCTGTTTATCTCCCTTCTGGATTGTAAGCCTTTTGAGTTGACTTGTATCTATCCAAGCGGCTAATTCCTTCGAATTTGAATCGTCGCGCTCCCAGAATTTGAAATTGAGAATTGGAATCGCTATATTCCATCACGTTACCGAAAGTAAACTAGTTTTGAGTATGTAAACGTGGTTGATTTTGATTCTGTGTCTCGTATGTGGATACAGCTGCATCTGCTGTGTTCTCTAGAAATGATTATTGGCAGTCGAATTCTTGATTTGAAGCAGACCATGCAGAATACTTTTTCTAAGGTGTGAATTTTTCCTTAAATTATTCTGTTCTATATTTTTGTCATTTTTTTGTATTCTGGACCTTACCGGACGATTCTATCTGTATGTCTATACTATATGTCTATTTTTTAATTCCTGTATACTTTCAATTGACAAGACTGGAATACAAGCAGAATTTTAGGAGAAAATTTAAAACTTTTTCCCCAATTTTTAAGTCTTATAATCTGAGGTTGCGTGAAGGACTATTTGTAGCTTTTAAAGCATCAGAATGTTTATAACTATAAGGGTCTGTTTGGGGCAGCTGCAGCTTATCCAGCTTCTGCTGATAAGCAACTTATCCTGATAATCTGCTGATGAGCAGCTGATCCGGATAAGCTGTCTGG